ATCAATGGAACATAATAGAAAACCCAGAAATGGACCCATAGCTATGTGGTCAACTCATCTTCAACAGCAGGAAAGAATATCCGATGGAAAAAAAGATAGTCTCTTCAACAAATGGTACTGGGAAAACTGGATGGCGACATGCAGAGAAAGAAACTGGACCACTTTCTTACACCATACAAAAATAAATTCAAAATGGATGAAAGACCTAAATGTGAGACAGAAAACCATTAAAATCCCAAAGAATAACACAAGCAGCAACATCTTTGACCTCAGCCACAACCTCTTACTAGACACTTCCATGGTTTCAAGGGAAAATAAAGCAAAAATGAACTGAGATCTCAAGATAAAAGGCTTTTGCACAGTGAAAACAACACTAAAAGCCTATGGAATGGGAAAAGATATTTGCAAATGTCATATCTGATAAAGGGTTAGTTTTCAAAATCTCTGAAGAACTCTTCAAGCTCAATACCCAAAAAACAAATACTCCAGTTAAGAAATTGATAGAAGACATAAATAGACATTTTTTCAAAGGCATGCAGATGGCTAACAGACACATGAAAAGATGCTCAACATCAGGGAAATACAAATCAAAACTATGATGAGACACCACCTCACACTTGTGAGAATGGTTAAAATCAACAAAAAAAGAAACAAGTGTTGAAAGGATGCAGAGAGAGGGTTGCACTGTTGGTGGGAATGAAAACTGGTGCAGCCACTCTGTAAAATAGCATGGAGGTTTCAAAAAACTAAACATAGAACTACCTTACTATCCAGGAATTACACTATTAGTTATTTATCCAAAGAATTTAAAAATACAGATTCAAATGAGTACATGCATCCTGATTATTATAGCAGTATTATCAATAGCCAAACATAGAAAGAGCCCAAATGTTAATCAACTGATAAATGTATAAAGAAGATGTGGTGGATAGATAGATGATAGAGATAAAGAAATATAGAGATAGAGATATAATAGAATATTACTCAGCCATTAAATATAATGAAATACTGCCATTAGCAATGACATGGTTGGAGCTAGAATGTATTATGCTAAGTGAAGTAAGTCAATGAGAGAAAGACAAATACCATATGATTTCACTTATAAGTGGAATTTAAGAAACAAAACAGATGAACACACGGGAAGGTGGGGGGGAGAGAAGAGAGGGAAACAAACCACAAGAGACTCTTAATCAACTGACGGTTGATGGAGGGAGGTGGGTGGGGAATGGGCTAAATGATGAGTGTTGAGGGACTTTTTATGATGAGCACTTAATGTTGTATGTAAGTGACGAATCACTGAATTCTACTCCTGAAACCAATATTACACTGTATGTTGACTGAAATTTAAATAAAAAAAAAATAAATAAATGCCTGGTAGAATGCCCCTGGGAAACCTTCTGGCCCTGGACTTGTGTTTGTTGGGAGATTTTTAATTACTGATTCGATTTCTTTGCTGGTTATTGGTCTGTTCTAATTTTCTATTTCTTCCTATTTCAATTTTGTTAGTTTGTATGTTTCTAGGAATTTATCCATTTCTTACAGATTGTCCTGTCTGCTGGCATATAATTTTTCTTAGTATTCTCCTATAATTGTATTTATGTGCTGTTGGTTGTGATCTGTCATCTTTAATTTTGATTTTATTTTGTTCAATCTTTCTCTTTTCTTTTGATAAGCCTGGCTAGGGGGTTATCAATATTATTAATTCTTTCCAAGATGTAGCTTTTAGCTGTTCATCTAGTCTACTGGGTTTTTTGTTGTTATTTCTATATTGTTTATTTCTGCTCCAGTCTATATTATTTCCTTTCTTCTGTTGGTGTTTAGGCTTTATTTGCTCTTTCTTTTCTAGCTCCTTTAGGTGTCATTAGGTTGTGTATTTGGGTCGTTTCTTGCTTCTTGATGTAGGCCTGTGTTGCAATATACCTCCCTCTTAGGACTGCCTTTTCATCATCCCAAAGGGTATGGACTGTCGGGTATTCATTTTCATTTGTGTCCATGTACTTTTTTATTACTTCTTTAATTTCCTGGTTAACCCATTCTTTCTTTAGTAGCACGTTCTTTAACCTCCATTATTTATGGTCTTTTCAAATTTTTTCTTGTGGTTGATTTCAAATTTCATAGAGTTATGGTTTGCAAATATACATGGTATGATCTCAATCTTTTTGTACTTGTTGAGGGCTGATATGTGACCCACTATGTGATCTATTTTGGAGAATGTTCAATGTGGACTCAAAAAGAATGTTCATGGATTCTGCTGCTTTAGGATGAAATGTTCTAAATATATCTGTTAAGTGCCTCAGGTCCAGTGTGTCATTCAAAGCCATTGTTTCCTTGTGATTTCCTGCTTAGATGATCTGTCCGTTGTTGTAAGTGGGGTGTTAAAATGCTCTATTATTATCGTGTTATCAATGAGTTTCTTTATGTTTGTGGTTAATTGATTTATATATTTGGGTGTTTCAAGTTTGGAGCATAAATATTTATAATTTTTAGATCTTCTTGATGGATAGACCCCTTAATTATGATATAATGCCCTTCTTCATCTCTTGTTACAGTCCTTGGTTTAAACTCTAGTTTTTTTCTAAGTATGGCTACTCTGGCTTTCTTTTGTTGTCCATTAGCATGATAGATGGTTCTCTAGCCTCTCACTTTCAATCAGCCAATATCTGTAGGTATGAAATGAGTCTCCTATACACAACATATAGATGGGTCTTGTTTTTCGTTTGTTGGTTTTTGTTTTTAATCCATTCTGCTACCCATTGTCTTTTCATTGGAGCATTTAGTCCATTTATTTTCAGGGTGATCATTTAAAGATATGAGTTTAGTGCCATTGTGTTACCTTTAAAGTTGGTGTTTCTGGTTATGTTCTCTGGTCCTTTCTAGTCTCTGTTGTTTTGGTCTTTTTTTCCCCCACTCAAGGAGTCCCCTTTCATATTTCTTGCAGGGCTGGTTTAGCGGTCATGAACTCCTTTAGTTTTTGTTCATCTGGGAAACTCTTTCTCTCTCTTTTTATTCTGAATGGCAGCCTTTCTGGGTAAAGTATTCTTGGCTGCACATGATTCCCATTCAGCACGTTGAATATATCTTGCCATTACCTTCTGGCCTGCCAAGTTTCTGTGGAAAGATCTGTGAACCTGCTATGTCTTGCCTTGCATATTAATGACTTTTTTTCCTTTGTTCTTTCAGGATTCTTTGTGTTGTAAGGGTTAAATTGTAGTGTAGGGCTAATGCTTAACTTGAAAAATAACAGCTTTGTGTTGACACTGAAGGTTAAGAGATAATAGCCTTGCTTTGCTCTGGTAAACTACACCTCATACCCTTGTAAATTAGGCTTCACCAATTAAGGAAACAAAAGTTCAAAGAAAAGAGCGTCAGAGGCAGGGTCAAGGAGATCCACTGGTTGCAACTTAGAGGCAGAAAGTCTAAAGTAAACACCTCATTAGACAACTGTTTCTAACTCATCTGGAACCTGTTTCTTTGTTCTGTTCCCAGGTGATGATAAAACGATCTGATCGGTTATAAAAACTCTGTACCCCGGCTGTTCGGGGCCACATTCTTGTCAAGAGTGTTGGTCCCGATCGGTCGGCCTTGCCTCTCATTGTAATAAACTTTGTTGTGACGGTCACTGGTGCCCGTAGCATTCTGTTTCAGGAGTCGTGTGGATGCAACATTTGATGCGTTGGCCAGGAAAGTTAAAGGTCTGAAACAGGGTCCTTTCTGCAGATTGCTCTGCCGACCCCTGGGAAGAAGCTCGGGATTGGGAGAAGTAAGGAATTCTTGGGGCGCGCCATTTGGATGAGTCAGGAGGGTCTGCTGGACGCGGCTATAGACCCAGAGTCAGGGATCTTACCGGGACGCTGGTGGACCCCATTTGGTTTGGTTTTTGTCAAGAAGGATCCTATTTTCAGGTGGCTGCCACGGCCTACTGGCCTAGAGATCTCAAACTTGTGTTTTCTTCATGTCTTAATTGTCTTCTTCCTGTTGACTGTGCGTCCTTGTCAGTTCTGCCTATCTTTGTCATGGGTCAAAATCAGAGTACCCCCACCCCTCTGAGTCTCATACTAACCCATTTCCAGGACTATAAAAGAGCTACCTCAGTTTTCCACCTCCACGTTAAGAAGCCAGTCCTTCGAATTCTCTGCGAGGTGGAATGGACCAGCTTTCAGGTGGAATGGCCTCCACAGGGGACCATTGACCTTACATTGGTATATATTTCATGATAATGTCTTTTTTAGGCATGAAGACCAAATCCCATATATTGGGACATGGAGGACCCTCATCGAAAACCCTCCTAATTGGTTAAAACTTCTCCTTCCCCTTCCCCCTTGCCTCCCTAAAGTACAGGCTTTACCACTCAAAGGCAGCCCATCTGGAGCTCAAAATAAGAGTCTTGACGGGACTAAGCGGCTGCCCCCTCTATCAACTGCACCGGAGGAAGAAACTTACCACCCGCCGCCCTATAGTTCTCGCCCCAAAAAAAAAAATACGGGTCAAGATGCTTCAGATCAGGAGGCAAGCCCGAGTTGGGACATTCCCCTGAGCTTGTCTCACACCCAGTCAAGGACTCCCTTCCACCCCCCTCCCGCTGCCCTACCCCTTTGTCCGGGGTCACCCCTGCAAGGTGATATCCAACCCTTTATGACTTCATTTAATTCTTTCACTAGTGACCTTTATAGCGCTCAGTTCTCGCTCAGAGAAACCCCAAATATTAATTTCTCTTCTTCAAACTATATTTGTGACCCATCAGCCAACCTGGGATGACTGCCAGCAGCTCTTGCACGTTCTCTTCACCACTGAGGAGCGAGATAAGATCCGTCATGAGGCCCAGAAATTAGCGATGGGGCCAAACGGGCAACCCACCGAGGATCCTGCTGTGCTGGAGGAAGTTTTTCCTTCCTCGCATCCTGAGAATTGGGACCAACACTCCTCACGGTAGGCGATCATTAACCCTATTTCGCCAGACTCTACTGGGAGGTCTCCTAGCGGCCGCCCGCCGGCCCACAAACATGTCTAAGGTAACAGAAGTAATTCAGGGAGCTGAGGAAAGCCCCTCAGCCTTGTTAGAAAGGCTCATGGAGGCGTACCGCACCTTTATCCCTATTGACCCTGAGGCACCTGAAAACAGAAGGGCATTAAATCTGGCTTTTGTCTCACAGGCAGCCCCAGACATTCGGAAAAAGTTACAAAAATTAGATGGGTTTAAAGGAAAAATTTATCTGAGTTAGTTGAAATAGCCCCCAAAATTTTCAACAATAGGGATTCTCAGGGAAAAAAAAGACAAAAAAATTAAGCAGGGTGGTGGCAGCCGTCCTGGATGCCCGTGAGGGAAGAGGACCCAGAACTCCCAAAGAATTCTGGTCTAGACAAAAGAAAAAAGATAAACAAAGGGTTAAAGTGTCACTAGGAAAAAAATCAGTGTGCATATTGCAAACAAGAGGGACACTGGAAAAATGATTGCCCCAATTTAGCCCAACGCAAAACTCGGCCACCCCAGGTATCTGTGAGGGGAGTCAATTTCGCCTGACGAGGCCACGGCTCGGTGGCCCCTTCTGAGCCATTGGTTACTGTTAATATAGGGGGCCAACCTAAGACCTTCTTGGTGGACACTGGGGCAACATTTTCAGTTCTAAAACAAGATCCGGGCCCCACCAGGCAAGGGGCAACCCTGGTGCAAGGAGGAACTGGGTCCCAGACTTGTAAATGGACCACTGACCGACAAGTAGATTTAGGCTGTAAAACTATTACACATTCTTTCCTAATCATGCCTGAATGCCCCTACCGTGGATTACTAGAGACCTACTGTATAAACTAACAGCTTCTTTGAAATTCACTGAAGGGGGTATGCATATTAAAGTCGGCCAGGATGGCCCAACAACAGTAATGGTGACTGTGCCACTTGGGGAAGAGGGCCTGCTCACTCCAGTGCCTAATGAAAATGTCCATGCAGTCGATCCCCTCCTTAAAAGCCTCCAGGCAGATTTTCCCCAGGTGTGGGCTGAAACCTATCCACCTGGGCTGGCAATTCATCAAGCTCCCATAATAGTGGAACTTAAGGCATCCGCACTTCTGGTAAGAGTAAAACAATATCCCATGTCCCGGGAGGCTAGGCGGGGAATCGCTATTCACATCAAGCGTTTGCACGACTCTGGCATTTTGATCCTATGCAAGTCGCCATGGAATACTCCGCTCCTTCCTGTCCGGAAGCCTAACTCATCTGATTTCTGGCCAGTTCAAGACCTAAAAGCAGTAAACGCCAGGGTAATGGACATTCATCCCACTGTACCCAACCCTTATACTCTCCTTAGTTTTCTTCCCCCTTCTCAGGTGTATTATACAGTTCTGGACTTAAAAGATGCCTTCTTTGCCATCCCGCTGGCCCCACAAAGCCAGCCACTATTTGCATTTGAATGGACTGATCCTGAAGAGAGAAAAGCCGGACAGCTCACCTGGACACGACTCCCCCAAAGATTTAAAAATTCTCGTACTCTTTTTAATGAAGCCCTGCACCAAGATTTAGAGACATTTCGGATCTCCAACCCACAGGTAACTCTACTGTAATATGTTGATGATATCTTGTTGGCAGCCCCTTCTCATCTGAAATGCCTGAGTGCCACCAAAGAACTCTTGATTCTTCTACAAAAACTGGAGTACCGAGTGTCAGCCAGAAAAGCACAGATGTGTCATACTGCAGTGACCTATTTAGGTTACAACCTTAAAGAAGGTAAGCGTTATCTTGGTGAACAAAGAATCGGCCTATACTCGATATTCCTCAGCCTAGAACTCGCAAACAAGTCCGCAAGTTCTTTCGGGCAACAAGCTACTGCAGACTGTAGATACCTGGTTTTGCTGAACTGGAGGCCCCTTTATATGCCACTCTCAAAGGATCTCCAGAGTCCTTCACGTGGGGGGGAAACTCAAACTAAAGCCTTACGAGATGCTCTCATAACCCCACCAGCCTTGGCTTTGCCAGATCCCACCAAGCCATTCCATTTGTTTGTAGCCGAAAAAGGGGGGATAGCCAAGGGAGTTCTGACTCAGCGCCTAAGACCTTGGCAGTGACCGGTGGCTTATTTATCCAAACGGTTGGGTCCAGTTGCTTCCGATGGCCCCCATGCATTTGACAAATTGCCGCCACCGTGCTTCTAGTTAAAGATGCAGACAAACTAACCTTGGGGCAAGCATTGTCTGTCACAGGGCCCCATGAAGTGAAAGCTTTACTGCAGGCTCCCCCAGAGCGATGGCTGTCAAATGCTCAGATTATTCAATATCAAGCATTGCTACTCGACCAGTACGTTTTTGTGCCCCCACAACCTTAAACCCAGCCACTTTGCTGCCCGAAGGACAGAATCCCCCTCTGCACTCTTGCCCAGAAACCTTGGCAACGATCTCGTCCCTCCGCTCTGATCTTACAGACGTTCCTTTACATGACCCTGATAGTATGTTTTCAGATGGCAGTAGTTTTGTGTTTCAAGGGCAAAGGTATGCCGGTGCTGCGGTGACGACAGACCGTGAAGTTTTATGGCAACAGACCCTTCCCCCAGGAACTTCAGCCCAATGCGCAAAGCTCATCGCACTAACAAAAGCCCTAAAACTCAGAAGAAACAAGTCAGTTAACATTTATACGGACAGCCGCTATGCTTTTGCAACCGCGCATGTACACGGATACATTTATCAAGAGCGCGGTCTCCTCACAGCAGAAGGCAAGGCCATCAAAAATAAAGCTGAAATTTTAGATCTTCTAGCAGCCATCTGGGAACCTGCGAGGCTGGCAATCATTCACTGCCCAGGACATCAGAAAGGCGACTCCCTACAGGCAATCGAAAACCGCCTGGCTGATGCAGCAGCCCGAGAAAGCTGCCCCAACTAAAAGTAAAAGTGCCTTGGAGCTCCCGATCTTGACAGAGCCCCTGCTTCCACTGGAGCCCAATTACACTCCTAAAGATTTGGAGTGGATTTCCAGAAAAGGGGGAACTAAGATGCCGGGACAAAAGTGGTTTCAAGATCCTGAAGGTAAGATACTCTTACCGGCAGCACTCGGGAGGCACATGGTGGGTCAGCTCCACCAAGGGACTCATCTGGGAAAAACGAGGATGGCGGAATTAGTGCGGAGAAAGTTCAGGGTGCAAAGGGCTGGGAAAAGAGACTAAAGAGATGGTTGAAAGGTGTGTAAATTGTGCCCAAGTAAATCAGGGTGCAAATAGGAAGATTTCAGAAGCTAAAAGAGATAGAGGAATTGAGCCAGGCCGCTTTGGGGAAGTAGATTTTACTGAGATTAAACCAGGGAAATACAGATATAAATGCTTGCTTGTTCTTGTAGACACCTTCTCCAGGTGGGTGGAGGCGTTCCCCACTAAATCAGAAATGGCTCAGGCAACAGTTAAGAAATTATTAAATGAAATAATTCCTAGATTTGGGCTGCCTCTGAGCATAGGATCAGACAATGGCCCGGCTTTCACAGCGCAGGTGTCCCAGGGTCTAGCCCAGGCATTGGGAATAGATTGGAAATTATATTGTGCATATAGACCCCGGAGCTCGGGTCAAGTAAAAAGGATGAATCGGACCCTAAAAGAGACCTTAACCAAATTGTCCCTTGAGACAGGCGAAAATTGGGTTGATGTCTTGCCTTTTGTCCTTTTGCGAGCGCGTTGTACTCCATTTGTCAAGGGATTTTCCCTTTATGAAATTTTATTTGGCAGACCTCCACCTATCCTGCCGAGGCTAGGAGACAACGTAATGGAACAGTTGGAACGGGACCATTTGCTGGCTTCGCTCATGGCCCTGCAACATGTACAGAAGGAAATAACCAGGGCCTTGAGAGAAGCCTTCACTCATCCTCCTGTTCTTCCCCACCCCTTTCAACCAGGAGACTTAGTCTGGGTCAAAAGGCATGAGCCTAAAACCCTGGAACCGTGCTGGAAAGGACCACACACCGTGATTCTGACTACGCACACGGCCGTCAAGGTAGATGGTGTCCGAACCTGGATTCATCACTCTCAGGTTAAGAAAAACTGTGTGAAGGCGGGAACAACCCAGACTGATACAGAACCAGATAACAAACAGCAACGGAAGTTTCAAAGGCACCCAGAAGATCCTTTAAAGCTAAGACTGATGCGGGCATAATTTTTTGGGTTTGTATGGTGTTAAGTGTGGGGGACTGTATGAAATTGCATCCCCTATCTTTTTGGCCATACCAATGGGAACTCAGGGACACTGTCATGAGGAAGGTGATAACATCTAATACCTCTTCCACTGTGCCTTGTTTTTTTGTTTGTTTGTTTGTTTGTTTGATTTATGCGACTTGGTGGGGGACTCATGGGGGACTTTAGTTACTAATTATAAACAGCCAACAGGCTTTGCTCCTCCGGTCCCCGAAAACCCCTATATGGTTACCTATGGATGTGGACACAGGGATCAAGAACAAAAATTGGCTAACATACCAGGGTAAAAAGGGCAGCACCAGTCCTCATTCCACCCCTAGTGGGACTGGGAATTGCAGGATCCACAGCTATTGGAACTGCTGGACTCATTGTGGGGGACCAAAATTTCAAAACTGTAAGCAAGTAGACCGAGACCTAGGCTACTTGGAAACTTCAATTTCTCGGCTAGAACACCAAGTAGACTCTTTAGCCGAGGTTGTATTACAAAACAGAAGAGGGCTTGATTTACTCTTCATGAAGGAAGGGGGCCTCTGCATGGCCCTCGGAGAAACGTGCTGTTTTTATGCGAACAATTCCGGAGTAATCCAAGACACTCTCAGTTTGGTCAGGGATAATCTTAGGACCAGGGAACGTGCCAGGGAGGCCAGCAATAATTGGTATCAGAGTTTATTCTCTTGGTCCCCCTGGCTCACATCACTGCTTACAGCCATAGCTGGGCCACTGCTGTTGTTACTTCTCGGGTTAACTATTGGCCCGTACCTTATCAGTTGGTTAGTACAATATGTCAAGAAGAGAGTGAAATAAAAATTATGATGATCAGGTCCAATTATATCCCCTTAGTTCCTAATGATGAATCAAGGGATTGATTCACTGACAAGAAAAGGGGGAAATGTAAGGGTTAAATTGTAGTGTAGGGCTAATGCTTAGCTTGAAAAATAACAGCTTTGTGTTGACACTGAAGGTTAAGAGATAACAGCCTTGCTTTTCTCTGGTAAACTACGCCTCATACCCTTGTAAATTAGGCTTCACCAATTAAGGAAACAAAAGTTCAAAGAGCGCCAGGGGCAGGGTCAAGGAGATCCACTGGTTGCAACTTAGAGGCAGAAAGTCTAAAGTAAACACCTCATTAGACAACTGTTTCTAACTCATCTGGAACCTGTTTCTTTGTTCTGTTCCCAGGTGATGATAAAACGATCTGATCGGTTATAAAAATTCTGTACCCCGGCTGTTCGGGGCCGCACTCTTGTCAAGAGTGTTAGTCCCGATCGGTCGGCCTTGCCTCTCATTGTAATAAACTTTGTTTTGACTGTCACTGGTGCCCGTAGCATTCTGTTTCAGGAGTCGTGTGGATGCAACAGTGTATTTTGGGAATTTGACTATATGTTCAATGATGCTTAACTTTTATTGAATTTAATGGGAATTACCTCTGCTTCTTGGATCTTAATCTGTGTCTTTCCCCAAATTAGATAGTTTTTCAGCTAATATGCTCAAATAAAACCTCTGCTTCTTTTTCTTTCTCTTCATCTTCTGGGACTCCTGTTATATGAATGTTATTCCTCTTATATAAGTCGCTGAGTTCCCTAAATCTACTATTGTGATCCATTACCTTTGTTTCCCTCTTCTTTTCAGCTTTATTATTTTCCACAATTTTATCTTCTGTATCACTAATTCGTTCCTCTACTTTATCCTCACTGTTATGCACTTGAGTGCATTTCAGTATAGCATTTTTAATTTCAGTCTGACTAGATTTTAGCTCTTTTATGTCTGCAGTAAGGGATTCTCTAGTGTCCTGTATGCTTTTTCAACCCTTATAATTTTTGTTTTAAATCCTCAGATATTTTGTTTTAAATTATATCTGTATTGATTAAATCCTGACCATTACTTCTTGTTCTTTTTGGGGGAGTGAATTCCTCCATCATGTCATTTTGGAGGGAAAAAATAATAGAAATTTAAACTTAAAAAATAAAGGAAACTAGACACTAAATGTGTTTGGGTCTGCTTGTTAAGCTTGATAGGAAAAATAAAAAGAGATAGAAAATTAAAAACTTAAATAAAAGTTGTTCTTTCTGTATCCAAGGGAGGGCAGGGGAACCAATAAACAACAACAACAACAACAGAAAACAAAGGAAACAAGATTCTGTTTCCCCTAGAGCTGAAGTTTTGCAGCACTCTATGATCAGTAAACTGCATAGGAGGTGTTTGTGCTGGTTTTCTGGGGTTGGGGCCTGTTGCTCTGATCCTTAGGTGGATTTGCTCTAGTGGAGATGGGCCTGGAGGGCTCAGAGCTCAGGGGGGTGGGACTTGGTGTAAGAAAGCTGTTTAGCTCACTGAGGTTGATCAGTGCAGAGGGACTAAGGGTTAAAATGGCTTAGCTCCACTCTCTGGTCTCTGGAGGGGGAAATTCAAGTGTTAACAGATGTGCAGTCACCCCACCCCCCCATCTGACCTCTGCCTTCACCCTGTCTGTGTCTGAGCTGACTGCCAGGCAGCACAGCCCTCCTGGAGTTTATCTCAGGCATGGCTATGTTTCAAAACCCCACACTTCAGGGACCCCCACAGTATGGCCCCACTGATTCTCTAGAGGAGGATGTCACTGTGCGGTGGCCAGTGTGGACTTGTCACAGAAAATAGGTACACAACCCACAGTGGCAGTGGATCAGAGTTTGTGGTAAATTGCAATACACAGGCTACACCACGGTTTGCTGCCCTTAGTCATTAGTAGGGCAATTCAATGGCACCCATAGGGTCTTTTGCCCATGAAGAGGCCATATCACCTCTACAAAATGCACTCCAACCAGGGCAACTGCTTCTCCCCGAGGAACCCACGAGATCCTCAGACTGTGCTACCCATTCCTGAGGCTCTCCCCTCCTTCCTTGTTGGAGCACTTCCAGGCACTGACCTCCCAAACTTCAGACTTTGCACTCCACTGTTTATAAAAAACTGGTGGTATTGAAACCCTCTCCTTTTTCCCATTAATGGTTTCAGGGAACAATTTTCTTGTGCAGTTCCCTGCATGAGTTTTCACTCTTTTTCCTTCACTTTTTTAAAAAAAATTTTTAACGTTTATTTGAGACAGAGACAGAGCATGAACAGGGGAGGGTCAGAGAGAGGGAGACACCAAATCTGAAACAGGCTCCAGGCTCTGAGCTGTCAGCACAGAGCCCGACGCGGGGCTCGGACTCATGGACCAGGAGATCATGACCTGAGCCAATGTTGGACGCTTAACTGACTGAACCACCCAGGTGCCCCTTTCCTGCACTCTAACTACTTGCTTGTGATCAGGGATCCTTCCCCACCAAGCACCCATGTCTCTTTTCTCCCACAAATCAACTCTCTGTATAGTTCCTACCCTCCACAGGTCATTTTTTTCTGTTATAAATGTACAGCTTTGTTCTCTAAGACTTCCAATCGATTTCTTGGGAGTCAGAATGATTTGATATTTATCTAGCTGTTCGGGGGAAGGGGCAAGTCTAGGGCCTCCCTATTCTTCTGACTCTTAACATCTCTTGTGGAGATGTTATTATTTTTTTTAATGTTTATTTCTGAGAGAGACAGAGTGCGAGCAAGGAAGGTGGAGAGAGAGAGAGAGAGGGAGACACAGAATCTGAAGCAGGCTTCAGGCTCTGAGCTGTCTGCTTCCAGACAGACCTGAGGCCTGACAGTCCTTTTCAGCAATAGGAGTTCCTACAGAGATCCTCACTTGCCCTGCTCCTCCCTAGCTCCCTGCAATAAAATTGAGCCACTTTTGTTGGAAAAATAAAAATAAAAACAGAACAAAAAGTACCAGTTCAATTAAAAAAATAGTTTTATCACCAACTAGGGAACTGTATCTATAATATGCAATAGAAAGTACATGTCTTTTGCATAATTTTTGTCATAGAAACATAACAATTCATATATACACTTGAAAGAAAACTGACATTTAAGTCATCTCTAAGTAAGTCCATTAAGACAAGACTGTTTAGGATACTATTGTTTAGGATACTATACACACACTACACAGCGTCATATTATTCAGCCATAAAAAAGAATGAGTCTTGACATTGCAACATGGATGGAACTAGAGTATTATGCTAAGTGAAATAAGTCAATCAGAGAAAGACAAATACCATATGATTTCACTCATATGTAGAATTTAAGAAACAAATGAACAGAGAGGGAAAAGAGAAGAGAGGAAAACCAAGAAACAGATTTAACTATAGAGAAAAAAATTGATAGTTACTGGAGGGAAGGAAATGAAGGATGGGTTATATGAGTGATGGCTATTAAGGAGTGCACTTGTGATGAGCACCGGGTGTTGTATGTAAGTGATGAATCACTAAATTCTATACCTGAAACTAACATTACACTGTATGTTAACTAAATGGGATTTAAGTAAAAACTTGGGGGGGAAAAGATTGCTTAAGACACCAACCAACCCCCAAATGACAACATAATACTACAAATTTAAGATGGCAACACTGTGAGACTACCCAGAGGGTTCCACCTTGGGAAAGTAATGAGAGGAAACCGGGGTGAAATTTTAAAAGAGGGAAAACAAACGAGATTTTAAAATTTGCATATACTGCTTATCTTGCTGCCCCTATTCTAATCAACACAATTAGTGCCCATATTGTCCACTTAATCTGACATTGCTGCCTGATGAAAACATAGACCATGACAAGCTAAAACTCCATATTTTTGTGCCCTATATGAATTGATCTAAGATTGGAACACATGGTTGATTGCATTGTGTCCTTCTTCCATATCTGCCCAAACTGACTCTGAATTTGGCAGTAGTAGCAAACTTGACTCAAACAAGCTTGAAACTTGTTTGCACATTTCAGCATCTTCTCTTGAACCCCTACCACCAAAAGAAAATACCAGGGCTAGCCTACTGAAAGAATGTGACATGTCATCCCAGCCATCCTAGACTAATTCACAATCCAGCCACCTTCCCATCCCCCAATTCAGCTGACCTG